GGAGGAATGTAACCTTGATCATTTGATAATCAAGACGATTAATTGTTCGCGACAAAATGCTTAATTAATCGCGATGGAGTGAAAGAGAATAAACGCGACGCGGTGCTTCGACGCTTTCGCGTTTAAGTATCTCACCATATCCTGCACCATTAATATTTATAACGGTGTTGTCATCAAACTTGATCATGGTTTGTCCATCGAGGGTCTAAATGCGTGGTCGTCGCAAAGAGAAATCCTAAAACAACGTCCACCCCGTAGTTCGCGTCGCCGCCACCACTGGCCGGCAAGCAAGCACAGCCAGGCAGACAGGCCAGGGGTGCAGGAACGAGCGGGGTCGACCCTGCGCGCAGCCTCCCCAGTCCACCCCGAAGATTCAGTCGTCGTGCGGCAGAGGAGGGCCGAGGAGCGCCCGGTCGAAGCGCCGAGGTCCTCTCTCCACTCTCTTCGTCTCCTATCTCCACACGCGTATCTCTTTTTATCCGCCTCGCGTTCTCTCTCTGTCTGGACCAAACTGAAAACGACCGGCTCCCTCTATCGCACGCACATACATACACACACACACATATACTCCGCGAGTCGCGAGTGAAAACGAGCCGGGCAGCGCCGCACCGACCTTCACCATTTTGGTACACGCAGTACGCTACGTACAGCCGTAAAGCTGTATGTCCTCGCCGAACCCTCGCTTGACGGAGAGAATCCGCGAGAAGAACTCGCCAAATTTTATCGGAATGCGCGCGGAGCGACCGGTCCGCTGCGTGGATTCCGTGACGAAACGACGACGCCGGTCTGGGGGTTGCTAGCCTCCCTCAACTCCGCCTCTCATTCCTGTCACTCTATTCGTTTCTCGCTCGCTCTCTCCCTCTTTCTACTACGAAGGGTGGGTGGTGATACGCCGGTGGCAGTGGCGGCAGTAGTGTGTGGATGCTTGTACCGGTGGGTGCTCTCTAGTGTGGGAGTAGTGGTTCCTAGTGTTGGTGATGGTGCTAGTGGTGGTGGTTCAAATTTCAGCCGCGTGCACGGGTTCACCTACGTGAGCCATTACACGGGTCCTCGGCTTTCTCGCCGACTGGGAGGCTATATGAGCGGTCACGGTCCACGGACGCAAATTCTGGCCACCTTCGTCCACCTCCTTTTCTCTCATTATCCTTATCTCCTCCATATACCCGGTGTGCTGACGTTCGACGTGCTTACTCAGGCTACGCTCTTTGCCCGCTCATCTTGACCGAAATTCGCGGTGTGTTCGTCGATCCCTACGTGTCGGTATGTCCGATCGTAGTAGTATGCAGTGTATGCGCGTGCTTTGTTGAAAGGATGCAACGTATCGCTGCTGCGCTGCCCTCGTCTCATACTGATTGCTGAGGTAACGTAGCAGTCAGAGGAGAGAGACGCGATGAAAATATTATCCGCAAATACATTATCCTCGCAAATACAACAGGCAAAAGACGTCAGGATGTATCGTGATAAAAATATTATTCGTCTCGCAAATACGATGAAAATCCCTCCGTTCACGGTGAGATCGGGGCGAAATAACTGGGGATGGAAAATGTGCTAGTCGAGATAAAACGCTATTTTTCAGGATTATTCAACCATTTAAAAAATATGACGGATATCGATAACAAATATATAATGTATATTTTTATTTCAAAGAAGATCGTATCATTTTTTCGAAAAATTTAGAAATAATTTTCTTGAAAATTCAGATTTCAATTAATCGATATTAATTGTAATTGGTAATCAAAATATATGTTTCGAAGTTATGACAGTGAAAATGATCAACTGCAAGAAACGGTCTGGCTTATAGTGTATCCATATTTTGAATTGCAGATTATAATTGGTTTCTTACACCTTTTAACGAAAACGTCTTTTTCGTATCTATTATATTCCCCATTCCGTCTACATTCGGACGAAACTCCGCGTGTGTAAACGCGACCATATGTGCGCGGAACGGCCACATATATGCTCCAAAAACGCGTTAGGTACGCACGTGTATGTGTGTTTCTATGGAAGAGAGTATCGTATCATTGCGACAGGTCTCTCGACCAGTTGTCGCGACCCTCTTCAACACCGCGTAAAAACAGGAAGTATGGTAAAAACATCATCCCCCTTCTACCGTGATAGCCTGAGCCCGCTGAAGCCCGTTAAATCGGACTCCAAAGCAGGGTGGGAGTACTGGAAATTACCGAGATGTATCTCTCTCCCGATTATTTCATGTGAATCCGCCGCGAGATTAAGTGGCTTTCCCGATATATATATATATATATATGTCCGTGTGTGCGTATTTTCTATGTACGGGTATATATACGTATATGTAACGTCCACATTGTGCGAGCAGTGGCATCGTTTCCGTAAATTTCGCCCGACGCCCCTTCTTCACAGCGACAATTAGACGCGGCAAAACCATTACCGATTCCACGCGCGGCCAACCGTGGGAACAAACGGTGAGAAAAAGAGAAGTGATATCACATAGAATACCTAGGAAGCTAGATTCGACAAAACGACGGATCATCCAGAGCGTGTAGCTTTCGAAACAAAAGCGTGCAGTTTGCTACTTCGATGCGTTTTACAAGAACGAGTTACACGGGTTGTGTTATGGATGAGCGTTTGAAGTCTCGTTCATCGTGACGGTTGGAAATAGGGGTTGCAGTTGGGGGTGGTTTGTTTTGCCCTCGTCCGTTGAATAGGAACAATCGACTCGCACCGGTGTGCGCTTTTTCCCGCGATGTAAAGTGTTGCGTCGAGACGATGTAGAGGACGAGTTGTACGGAGAAGAGGAGGAGATGAGGAGAAGCAGGAGGAGGAGGAGGAGGAGGAGGAGGAGGAGGAGGAGGAAAAGGAGGAGGCAGCAAGGGGACGAAAAATATGGCCCGTGTGCATGTCGAGCGTGTCGGCTGCCTTTTTGCTCGCTTGTGCTTCTGTCTCTTTTTCTTTTTTTTTCTATCTTTTTTCTGTCTTTCTATTTCGTCGTCGTTCGCTACTCGAGGATCGTTGACCGTGTCGAATGTCGGTCACTGTAAATGAGATTCGCAGAGGCCGAGACGTTAGAGAAGTCCTCTCTGGAAGCAGTCTTTCTTCCTCTTCGTATCGCTCTCATTTTCTATCTCTTCTCTCTCTATTTCTATCTCTTTCTCTTCTCTCATGAGAAACTCCCGAAGTAAACTAATGGCAGAGCGAGAGGAAGGAGAGTGCCAAGTTGCGGGCTGGCACAGGGTCGTTTAAATGTTTAGATTCGCGGTGTGAAAATCCCTCTTTTACCCTTACGTGGAAAACTTCTTATCGTACGAAAGCTAGCGCTTGCACATTTGGAATGCAAGGGGGTTTCGCACCGCGGAAAAATACCGCCTTCCGGACCGTACCGCTCACGAACGCGCACGAACGCGCACGAACGCGGGGTTTCAAGTAGTTTTAATTTGAACCACGGTAATCTTCGTAGTTGCGGATAGTGGCGACGCCTCTCTCACCTCCAACAGGGAATAATTATTTTAGATGACAGCCGACGCGACGCACACGAAATTCGTTCTCGCATGTGATTCGCGCACACGCGTGATTGACTGAAATGGAGCTTCTCTTGCTCTGATTATATCGATTGGATTATCAAGAATACATTACTCCGAATTTCGGTCTGCTTGCTGCAATCTCGAAACAGCTGCGATATTCCAATGTAGCGACAGTGAGATTTATTCATCGCGTATCGTCAAGAATATTTTTTATTTATTATTTGAGACATGTTTTATCTTCAAATAGTCATTTATCGATATTTCCAGATATTTTTAAAATTGTCTGCGAGTATATTAATTCCGGTATTATAACGGGCTCGCAAATATCTTGGTCGAAAAATATTAGCTTTACGTTTATTGCTTTTTACACCAGGCTCACTGAGATTATGACGCTTTCGAACAATAACGTCACGCGGCACGTTGCTGCTTTTTCATCCTGAAAATAATTCTTCGGAAAAACTTCGGCAAGAACTCTCATAACCGTCTACAATAGTCTACATATTTACATCGCCGAAACAAATATATAACGATAAAATAATCGCTCACTACCAAGAGAATATTTTTAAAAGGGTTTTGCTTTCTTATCATATTTCATATTAATTATGAGAGATTTCACTCAGCAGAGGAAATTTTAAAATAAATATGCACAGAACGAATTTTCTTGATTTTTTTAAAACTACTCATATTGATAGTCGTCATCAAAATTTTCAATAGCTATCTATTTTTTCTGATTTTAACTTTCTTATGGCAAGGAGGATCTAATTCTACTTTTTGGATATTTTAAAAATGCACTTCACTACAAAAGAGTTAATAAAATTCAGCGCTTTTAGGATTATATCGTTTGCTTTATATTTAAAGAAAATGACTGACAGTTAATATTAGTTCAAAATAGTGCTTTATGGATTATGTATTAATAGAGAATCAAAGAATCTTACTAATAAATTATCCTCTACCGCGCATTTTTGTGTTACAATAATATTTTAATTAAAATAAAAATATTTTTCTTTCTTTACTTGAAAACTCTCGGAAATCCCGGAAGTGCAATGCACCTGTTTCACGGTGTTCAATGCTTTGACTCAAGTTTTCGCGAGTGCGGGTTTTCTGCAACGAGCGTGTACGTGCTCGTAAGCTCAAAGCTTGGTGTTAGCGGTACAGAACATCGTTTCACGAGAAATCTGTACGTTGCGCGTCGTTCTGCAGCTGTGCGTCGCTGTTCTTTCAGATTCGAAGGAATCGGCAGCGGTGCGGCACGAGAGACCGAAGGGAATACGTGCAACGAGATGCCAGCCTTCGCACCGTTTCGCATCGCATTCTGGGAGATACCTTATCCCGCGAGAACGACGACTACGTTCGTGGGAGCACTTGGCGGTTTTACACTTTTCTACTAAATCAGCCGTTAACGTCCGTTAAATCCCTACGGATGCACCGCGCACTCCGATCTACGATCGATAAGCGCTCACGTGAAGCGTCTCAATTCGACCTCGCGGAAGAGCGAGAGAGGAAGATTCCGAGATGTGCGTGACGGGGAAGACGTACGAGCAAGAAATGGATGGGAAAAGTACGTTCGAATCTTAGCCCGCTCTGCCCCGTAAATAGCGTTTTGTAACCCCCGTCACGTGAAATCGATATCCCTTAAGAGCCGGTCCGTGAGGTCGTTCGTCAGACCGGTGTTGCCTGTTTCATCCCCCGTGGAAGTGGAAGAGAGAGTGCGCGCTAGTCTGCGGGGAGTCTGCGGGTGGAGGTGGACAGGAACGGGGTTAGCTGAATAAAAGAAGATGCACCGGAAAAGGCCAACGTTCCTCACCGACATGGGACTGCTAATGTTCTTAGCGGTAACAGCCTCTCTGTTGGGTTACTGCCAAACGGACGAAAAAGGTAAGACACAGAGTCACGACTCGCGACCTCTCTTTGCTTACCGTATCCCTTTTCTTTTCTTCCTTATCTCTCTCCCACGTGCCCGCGTTTTACTATCTACCCCGGCTGCGAAGGCGACGTCGAAAGAAATACGGATTTCGCTTTCCGCATCGTCCAACTCGGATGAGGGTGAAGGGACGCGAGAATAGCGCCGTGCGCGAGAAAGAGCGGCGAAGATTAACTTTTATGGCCGCCGGCATGAGTAGTTCCCGCGAATTTACTTATAGCGGGAGCGGTTTAATGGTCGCCACGCACATACATTGCCAGGCGCTTTTAATAGTGCGCGAGACTATGGCCGCGTTGCACTCGGCGCGACGTCCCTTCGTAAACACCCTCGCACGCAAACAATTATATATCGAGCGTAAGTCTCTTAATTCTTAATCCGCGAATAGTCAGCAGATAGTCGAAATTACCACTTTTCGGTACTTGTGATGGTAGAAATTTATAAAATAAATGAAAAATGCCTCCAATATAAAATTACCGTAGTGAGGACAGGAAAGCGAGAATCGAAATTATGAATGTACATTTATTTATAATAATTGCGAGTGTAAAATCGCAAGATATATAAAAAATCCAATTTATTTTGAATCGATATTCGGAATGGCTTTAAATAATTCGAATCATTTTTTTATCGAAATTTAAAATTTTCGTTTGGCAAAGTTATCGAGGTGGATCTTTGATTCACAGAAAAAATGCGGTTTTGCTAAAATTTTTAAAAATAACTATGTTGTTGAATGTATAATGTCAAATTTTATTCAGTTTGAGTTATTTTTGATCATTTGTACAGGTCGCTACTGTTCCTACTTAAAAAAATGGAATTAAATGATTCGACTCAAGAAAATATATAAAATTTATTTTTTATTTATTATTTACTAAGTCTGTACGTTAATATGGATGTTGTTTATTTTGAAACTAACCACAAAAAAAGGTTTACATTTCGACACACGGAAGTTAAAATGTTATTTAACTGAAAAGACTGCTTTTTTGATATATCCAAGAGTGTAGATAGAGATTTGAAATAATTTTGTTACATCGTTAAAATATTATGTAGAATCAAAGCTGGCTGTTAGAATGTCAAAACATTTTGCAGTGTTGCTCATTAAGCTCAAGTATCCTACGTAATTATTTTGATGGACCAGCAAAATTATTTTTAAATCTCTAGCTAGCCAAATTTTTAAAAATTGTAGAAAAAAATTGTTCTTTCCGTGTAGTTTTGCATTTCTTATAATTCTGACGTTATTGTAAATAATTAACACTTACAATTGACTTTGAATCTTCTTTTATTAAGAAGAAATTTAAGCTAATATTGAATTTCTTTTGTAGGTAGTAGCATATTACACTACACTATCAAATTCAATTTTTTACATTTTATAGTCACTTTATGATTAACTCGAATATGCTGTTTCTATGCTCTTCCTGTCATTATTATCCCAAAGTTTCGCGCATATTATTAAATATTTGCATTATGTCCTTCGTTATACCGGAGCGCGAGATATTTTGTACGAGGAATAGTCGATTATATGCGACTATATGCTGGAGGCTGGGAAATATTATTTTATAATTTTGCAAAGTAAATCATTAAAATTTTTTTGACACTATTTACACGTATTTCATAAGACTTATTATTACAAATAGACTGTATTCTTGAAAAAGAGACATAATAAAAGTTAATAAAAGTTAAAGAACATAACGTAGCATAATGCGTTTTATCAGTTGATAAGCAAAATCAGTTAAAAACATAATTATATGGTAAAAATAGAAAATAAATTTTTTTAACATTTTACAATACAGAAAGCTCCATGGAAAAATCGGGCAAGCGGGAAGAATGGAAGTGAACGTTTTCAGACTCGCTAATTAAATTTACCCAATTTGCAATAATCGAACGCGGAAATCACGTTGAAGTAATAACTTGCTACTAAATCATACGCCGTTGCAATACATATCGAAGTACACTTGTATACGTATTACCGGCGTGTCCGTTATCGTTGTGCAATGCTCGATGATTTAACATTTCATCCGAATAAACCGGATAATCGAAACATGTAATCCATGCGTTACCGCTCTTTCCAGCACTATACCTTAGTAAATTGATCTGAATTTAACAAGAGATCCGATCGCGGTACTCATGTGCATAGTGCAAGTACAAATAGAAAATTGTTAACGTTCCCATCGAACTCTAAAAAAAAATTTTCCTGGCGTGCTGGTAACAATCAATACGTCGTGTCGCGTATTTCCGTACCAATAAAATCTGTATACTCTCGACACACATCTATGCACTCGCCACTCGTGTGTTAATGCATATTGCAAACTTTTCAAAACTTTTGCCGGCTCCTGTTACTTATATATGTTCATAGTTTCGAAATGATTAAAGAATGGTTTGTGGTTTATTTGTATACGGAATTAGACACTAAATTTCGATTAAAATAATAATTGCACGAAATGTAACAGCGAACAACATGTGCCATAATAGCCAAAAAACATGATCGGCAACATAATATACATTGTACGTTATTTACGGTTGATCCAACGTGAAATTATATTTTTCACCGTATGCCAGAATATCCCGAAACAAAATGAGTTTGCGATACCTGCTGCTCGCTAATCAGTTTCCGTTTGTCGGATTAATCTGCGTGGCGCGTGCGAGACGTCGCATCGTATCGCGTCACGCGTGGCATATCGCGCATTTGTTTTTACACATTCCAGTGGTTCCGACTGGATACATATTCTCGTGAAAAATATACGCGAGAGAGAGAGAGAGAGAGAGAGATTCAGATTGCGTGGCCACGTCGCATCGACCATGTATTTTTTGCGTGCCAGTTATGCGGTTTATGTCCGCGAAGATACGCTAAAATAGTATGTATTATAACGCAATTAAATATTTTTGCAATAATAAGATAATGACCAATAAGAGTCTAAGCATTATTGTAAGTGCTCAATTACAGTGATTATATAGTATCGTCAAAATATAAAAAAAAAACATACACAGTTTACTCTATTTCGGACTTTCTTCAGACTTTTTTAGGATTTTTATTTTTTAGGACTTCATGATAAATAATTTCGGATCGCGATTAATTTTCAACCGTTTAGAGAGACAAAAATATATGTTTCGTCTACCATTCGCAGTCTTTACCTAATCATTTTTACTGTATAGACGGATACAATTGAATATTGATGGAAAATTGAGATTGATTAAAATGATTGCTTCGTAAATTGCTAATTTTTATTTTTGCGTGCAGCTCTCGATATCCGTTGAAAGAATCATCAGGGAACAGAATACCCGGCAGTTTCCATGAAACCTTACGAGGTCGTTTCCATTTGCCAGTCACATCGCGAGATACCGCAACCACCATCCCGCGTTAATGTACTGTATACTTTTTCTCGAAAGCCGCCGGCCAATTACGCTTGGGGGTACGAATGTAACGCGAACAATCTGTACGGCTCGTAAAGAAAATTACAATTACGAAAGCCGCAAAATGTTCGCTTAAAAAATGCTACTTCATAACATGGACTAAGAGAGATTCTATCCTATATACAATTATTTGGGTTTATACTGAATGCAAGTCAGCTGATGTATTTACTGAAATTCGATGCAATATAATCAATGGGAAAACGTGGAAAATTCAATCTGAGATATATTCTTGAAATTATGGAAGACCCGATGCATTCACTTAGCCTAATAATTAATGGTACAGTCGCGAATGCATCAGCTTACAGCGGATTAGCTATTAATTACGTCATTTATATCAGGATCTCAAAAAATATCCTCTCCAACGATAACAAGATCTACTTGTTAAAAAGTGCAACGCACGATTTTTCATTTCGACTAATCCGTCATCTACGCAAATGTGCAAAATGATATTTCGATGTTGCGCCAGAGATAAACTTTTTGTGAAATAACTACGTAATACATTCTACGTACGAGTCAGCAAGTTTCAATTTATTATTTAATTTTTTAGTATAAAATAAATTCCTCTTTGTGACCGAAATTCATGGAACACCGCTAGCGGATGTATTCGCATGATTAACTCGATCTCTTTTACGTAACAATCCTGCTATTTTGTACTCTAAAAGCGGATCTCGATTTTTAGTAATTCTATAAAACAAATAACCCATCGAATAACAATCGAATGCGTATTTTCGATTCATATACATAGCCGCCGAGAATCGTAATTACCGTAGCGAACTGTATGGATTGATACATATCGGGTGTACGATTTGAATAACAATCTATATATGGACAGTTGTCAAACGTATATCTCAAATATATTGCAATACGTACGATTAGATATACATGTAAAATATGTGCAATAATCTTAAAACATGAAATTTTTAGATATATAAGCAAATATCTATCATTTATTATAAGCACTAGAATATATTCCGATTTATTTGTATTTTGTAATTTTTTCCTTTTTATTTTAATTATAATTCTCTCTTTATCTGAATTATAATTAATAGCTATAAAATTCAATTGTGGCAATTTTATAAAATTTAATTTAATTTAACAAATATATGTACACATTTTAAAATTATTTTTTAAAACGTGACTATTTAAAGTTAAATAAAATTTATTTCAGCCTAAAACTTTCTAAAGGTAATTTTTTTGTGGAATTCGGTTTTGAAATTCTCTTATTATTATCCAGGTTAACAATTTTACAAATATTAACTTGTCTATGGGCGAGAAACGCTCGAGGCTTTGAATCGTTGCTTGGTGGGTCATGCGAGAGAGTTGACGAGCATCAACACTTCTACGTCAGGCCATCCCTTTGAACGTACGCAAATATTGCGTTTCGTGGATAACGCGAATTGAGTAAGCTGCGGTGCAATGAACTGCAAAACACCGAGGGCAATACCTAGGATCGATTTGCGGTCGACGTTAATGTTTCTATGCACCGGCTAACCGTGAAGGAGGTGGTTGGGAGAAAAGAGAAAGAGATAGAGAGCAAGAGAGAAAGGGAGATTCTTCGTACTTAATGGTCCGTGCAGTTATTCCACGTATTTGAACGCGTTTTTAGATCATTTACGGGGGTGGGAAATAAACCCCTGGCAACTTCGTTCATTCCTTTATGTGTTGTCTATAGACGACGCGTCGCGAGATACGGGATTTTCTCATTGCTCGTTTGAAGCGACTGAAGCTGGTCATTCATCGGCTCAATCGAAGCATCGACGCGCTTCTTTTATGCTCGTGCTCGTTTTAGAAACGTGCTTTCACTAATCGAGAATATTTTACGACCGTAATAGCCTGAATAGGAGATCCACGAGAACTTCGCAGACTTAACCATGGATTCTCTATTTATCACTTTTTATTTAGTCCGCAAAAGATATTTGTACTGCTGTAAAACGATGTCTAAGTCCGTAGAAACACCCGGGAGATTCGAAGAACTTTGACGATCCATTCATCAACCTGCCGCCAGGTCCACTTCTACCGCTTTTGTTAATGAAGTAGCTAGAGCGAGTACTCGCTATAATAGACTTTGAGAATTTAGAATCCAGGGATAAATTTCGAAATATTGCGATTAATTATTATCATGCGCGTCTCTATATAATCTCTTTGAACTTTTAGATCGTCAGTACCCCATCCATTTTCATTCACTATCCGATTACTAAACATGTCAATCTAAAGTGACGCTTTTCATCTCCTGCCCCGCGGTTTAAATATACCAATAAATATAAAAAAAGGCTTTGAACTAACCAAGAGCACCGTTTATTTGGAAATATCGTTCTTTTGTTTCGACACGATGACTGTTTTGACATATGTGAACGACAGTTGATGTGAATGCAGGAAAACGATTTCACGCGGAAATAAAACTTTTATTACATCTATTAATGTCGTGAAAAAATTTACTTTCGTATACATTATTCACTGATCTGAATGATCATTGATTACGAAAATTTATGGAAATGAAAGAATTTTCATTTCCATCAAGTGATAGAAATAAAACAAATTTCAAAATTGGAAATTTCAAATATGGAAATCGGTAGAGCAATTAGAGTTCAAGTCGATTTCGTGCATTTGTACTTTTTAGTGCTTTTGATATAAAATTACTATAAATAATCATACACTGTTAGATATTAAAAGAGCAACAGTAATCCGTTGAGTTAAATATTATTATGTTATTTTCAACTTACATGTGTATTAAAATGTAAATCATTCCATTTCTGTGGTTAGTTTTAAAGTAAACAACATTATGAATAAACGTTCATTATGAACGTGCACTAGTAAATATTAAACTAGATTTTAATCAAATTTAATATATTTTCTCGAGTTAAATTGATTAACTTCATTGTTTTAATTATAATTAATGACATATTAAGAAGTAGCAGTAGAGATCCATAAAAATGATTAAAAATAACTCAAGTTGGATATAATTGACATTATAAATTTAACAGTGTACGTCTAACACACATGCTTAGACTTTTTAATAAACGATTTTTTTTAATTAACGCTCTCACGGAATGGAATTCTCATAGTTGAAAAATTAATATTTGTCTTTAGAAATAAGTAAATGGAGTTATAGAAGACTCACAAGATTTGTAAAATCTTGTGAGTACCAGTTTGTTGTTTATCTTCATAGCCGTTGCAGTTTATTTACTTATTTACCGCTACTTACGGCGCGGTACGATAAATATATGAAATTTCCTGAAGAAAGCCACTTCAGCTTGCAATTCAAAAGTTATCGGAGAAACAGATGAACGAAATAAAACTTCCCGAGTGACACTTAATTTCTCTTCCTCAGCACTGAAGAAAAATGAGGTCTTGCGCGCCGACTGCAACGTATTCACCTCGCTTCTTGTTTTACGCAGAAATAGGAATATTCGCGATGCTCAACAGTCATAATTTTTTCATAAACTCATATTTTAATTACTACTATATTAATCAGTAAAATGTAAATCAACCGTAATAACGACTACCTTCATCGCTTACGAGAAACCTACACAATTTCCAGGACCGGTCTGGGATTGTCGAGAAAGAGAGGGTAAAAGAAAGAACGTTTACAACATTACGTAAATTAAAATGAAGGATTGCGCAACGTTAATAGCGCATCTTTCTATCTCTCTTTTCGCCTCTAACTCTTTCTCGCTTACCAACAAACCGTCCGCTGTATAATAACGCGCATCATCGGTCTTCCACTTTGTACAACTTAAACGCATTAAATTTGTTAAACTTGCAGTGTCGTTTTACGGGGCGAGCTACATCCATCTTCCAGTTCAAGAGGCCAAGGGTGCTACTGACATCAGTTTCCGGTTCCGAACTCATCTCGCCGATGCTATGCTGCTATTGGCTGCTGGCAAGACGGATTACTGCCTGATCAAACTCGAAGCCGGCAGATTGAAGGTTCGTTTGCCCCTGGCGCTCACTTCTATTAATAGGCTTTCTGTTTGGTGCCGGTCGCCTTGTCGTCGTTAACGGGCCGCACGTGCTACGATACGCCTGTCAGACTTCTCTTTTCTCCCTTGTCCTTGCGGAGAAATTAGACGCGACGTGACACGCTAAAAAAAAAGCGGAGTCTCGCGTACGTTAAAATATTCCCCCGCAAGGCATCTAGAAAAGAGGAGAATTCACCGCGCAGATGTAACATTTGCGCGCGTGTCCGCGGTTCTTATTACTCGAGAATCTTATTTCTTGGCGAAAGAGATGGCACGATTCCAACGACATGGCGAAGGACATTGCATCTAGGAAAAGATCCTAATCATCATAACGTAGCGAATTTTGCGGTCCGCGTATTTGATGCTTGCGATATCGCGCAAATAAGAATATAATCTTAATTCTTGATCCGTAATGTTATTTCTGAATATTTATTTACATTTAACCTTGTAAGTTTTAATATGCCGTTTTCATTTAATATCGCGAAATATTTGCGCACACAATTTCCGTGAGAAGGATATCAGGAGACGCGGTAGTGTCTCCGGCCATGTTCAATTATCCTAACTACTTTAGGATTAAATTAATATTTAGCCAACATGCCCGTATCTTTTTCTTTTAACTAACACCGCAATTTCTTAAATTATCATAATTACTCGCAAGATAGCAATATTAAAAAGAAAGCGTTTATATTATTATTAAGAGGAAAATAGAAGAAAGATAGAAGAATAGGTTTTAGGCCAGAAAGGACGAGGACAAGAAAAATGAAGGGATAAAATAAAAGGCGGTGATCTGTGAGATCACTACACTACATATCAGTTAAGGGTTAATAAAAGAAGGTAGCAATAATGTTAAGCGGTTAAGGGTGAGATAAGAGTTAAGAATAGGATAATATACTTTTATATCACAACATTGAAATCGATAATGCTACAAAACAATATTTCTTCATCCAAAATTTCAATCTATCCTACTTATCAACAAATTATATTTTTGTATTATTTAAAAATAAACGGAGAAGTAAAGTTTTCTGTAAAAAACGTTTTTATCCTATTAATAACAAAGTAATTAATAACAAAGTAATTTCTTCGACCAAAATGTCAATCTATTCTACCTATTAAAAAACTGTTTCTATATCATTTAAAAATAAACGGAGAAGAATAATTTTCGATTAAATACGTTAATTTTAGAACTCTGATAATAATATCGATAGGATATGCAACAACGCTATTTGTTTTTCTCATGCTGATGTCGAACCCGAGTCTCACAATACCTTATTCTGATATAAATACCTTACATACGCGTATATGTAAAAACCTTATGTACAAAGGACCAGACACATGTGCCACAGAGAAAGAATTCAATAAATTGATTCGCCACGGGCGAGATACAACCAAACTAGCCGCCAAATTCAATCGCATGTAGATTTCGATATCGCGGAATATCGCATTTCAGCCGGTGGCAATTGCGCCTCGATCGCGAAGAGTTAACCTGCTATCACTATCCAACTATAGTCGATGATGGCGAGGGAGTGTTTTGCGATAAGTTCGTACGTGTTTTTGTCTTCGGCGTTATGAAAGATTTCACGGTGATTGACAAGCAGCTCAACGAAACCCTGGTTATTTCGTTACAGAATCGACTTCCTTTTAATGGCTTTGATAACGTAGTGCGCATCAACGTCGATGTGGCCCCGCTCTGCAAACACGTCCAACAACGGGAGTAAAACCACATAATGTCTTTTCCATCGATGTTTCGCGAAATAAAATTGCGGTGATACTGTATGGAGTTTTTTCTTTTTTTACACCCCATTTTATTACGCGTCAATAAAGCGCGACGATGTTTCGGCTCGAGGCTGGAATGTTGCTCGCCGCGTTCGTTTTTACGCATCGGTCAAAATTTCACACGATCGGTCAAAACTGCAGTCTACTGCGAGACGAAGTCACTCAGTCGAATTTCACGCAATAATGAACCTTCGCGATAGAAATGATAGAACGAATCTTTTTTTTTCACCTCGATAAAAAAGACCGCGTGCAAGAGTTACGCGCAAATGCAACGGTATTCCCTCTCGTTTCCCTGGAGATGAACAGGTCCCATTAAAAATTACTTCTAAAGAAATAATTCATTCGTTGAAAGCGCAAGTCCCACGTTGATTTACGCGCAATTATTAAACGTACGGTATACGCAATGCATACGAAATGAATGAATAAGATTCACTCTCGTGTTCGATAGAAAAAAAATCATTCCCGAAGCTACAAAATAAAATATTAAAGCAACTTATTATCTCTTCAACGTGATTTTTCGAGAATATCTACACATTTTCGCATTGCTGGATTATAGGCGTGAAAATACATCGAATACATATCGCATTATAACAAAATTCTAATTTCATATCTATTCGTTAGCGTCAGAAATTGAAATTCTGATTGAATACACGCGGAATACGAATTTTCGTGATCGATATATATATATATATGTTATTATGACAAGCGTTAAGATTCCCAGTGGTAGAGATGAACATGGCTGCCCATATACGAAACATGTTCGTAACTGAATAGTACAGCGGCGCGCCTATAAACAAGTTTCACAAGCCATAATGAGAAGGAGGCTGACGGCGATAGAACTCGCGTAGTAGCCATTCTGTCTCTTGATAATAACCGCTGATGAGAGCCGCGTTGCTTCTAATTATGTACAAAGAACGTTACGCTGGAACGAAGTTACAACTTCGCCGCAGATTATTAATTTCCCAACGATTAATATTCTCGTGCATACTCTCATATTTTACATGACTCATTATCGCTCTCTTCCCCACCCTTTCAAATGAAACGTGCCTGGCACCCTAAACTCTCGCGAACTAGTACTCGCAATTGCGAGAAGTACAAGCGTGCGCGCGCGGGGACGAATATTATTTTGTTGAAAAGAGTAATTAGTATAATCGATTTCCGCTGCCGCTACGATTATTCCAAAGTGTTGAACATAGTCTATTTCAATCGCGAAATTTGTATCAATTTTAAATAGTTTTATTCCTTTCTCTCTCTCTCTCTCTCTTTCTCTCTCTTTCTTAGTTAAGAACTTTGTCTTAACCTTGAGATAGAACCACGTAATACATTTCCCGATGCATTATGTATTAGACAGTATTAAAATATTCTCTACTTTGAGTGCATTAGCCGCGTGGAGGTGCGGTATCCTGATTACGTGCATGAATCCCGGCATGAAAACCGCGCGAATCTAATTTCGCGAAGGGTTAAGACCGTGCAGCGCAAAGAAGCTGCTCGCCGTCAGAGCTTAATTAAATTTGTTAAGAAGATCGTTAAGAAGGATGAAGACAGGATAAACGGCTGGGGCAAAAAGTGCAACGGTAATTTTGGGTTCTCGTGTGCCTCCTTGATGGAGGAGTCTCGACCGACGACGCCTTCGGAGGCTTAAAAGCCCCTCTATCCGAGGCGATAATCCGATAATTCAAAACCTAATTGCGGCGATATATCGCGGTATCACTTGCTTTCCATGGCTGGTGTTGCGAAGTCTACATCTTCTCATGCAGTGTTCGAAACTTGAAAAGTTTTTTCTTTTCCTCGTAAAATTATTAGATTTATTTTCATATTCTTGTGATTATCCTGATTTAGCGTACTTGTGTGTCAGTTTTTGATTTTTTCTCTTTATGATTATTGTATAAAATTTTCAATTATATTCAATTATGAACACAAAAGATAGAGAATCCTCGTTAGAATAAAATGTATTTAATAAATTGAGAGCACCGAAAGCACCTTAATGAGTCTGAAATATTGTATTAAGAATTTAATAGTAGCAACTTAATATAATGGGCCATAATGCCTTGTAATTAGAGAAGAAGTCGTACTGTACCTCTTCGTTAAGAGGACCATAATCCTAATAATTATGAAACATCGTTACTAGCAATGCGCGACATTTTTCCCGACTCAAATAAATATCTCCTCAGTGTTATACATGCAGTTAAAAAATAACGAGGAAACATGCCTATCTTAACAAGTAAATGGAAAACGAGCATTTCGTTTCACCAACGAGTGCACATCTCGAGTGCGAAGTGATCATTAATATTGAATCTCTCGATAATCCAGTGAATTGAATTTAATTATCTAGCCTATCGCAATATTTACTTTTCGGTGCATTGCGACATTTATTGATGATTTATTGATGGGAAAGGAAAATTTTCTGCGACACACATCACGGTAATCAACGGATCATTAATTGGACACTCTTACCTCAGGATACATTTCTTCCGCTATTATTTTGTATCATCGCAATCTAGGTTTGCGGTGAACTCGGATACTGATATATCAATAACTCGACCGCAAACTGTGCCACCGGATAATTCGACGATTCGGCCACACCGGAATACATCAGTGGCTTCCGATATTGTTCACTTTCCAATCGTCGATGCATTCATAATGCGACTACCCTCTTCGGCGACTGTGTGTGTACAAAGGCGCGTTTACATTCTGCAAAGTGTCTCGTCTCGCGCGCTTATACATATTAATGGGTCTTGCATAGTCATCCGGCATTGCTCCGACTACTATCGTCGGCTATGCTCGCAACTCGCAAAAGCTCGCGCTTTTATTACCGAATCGATCATAAAACCGACGACGTGCACTGCTATATCAGTCGAAAGAGTTGGTGACTTGAACGCGACGTTGTGCCGCCACTGCGACTTTAGTCTCGGACGATCGACTTTTCATTAAGAGGAGAACCTCAGCAGACTTTTCTCGGGCGATCTCTTACATAGGATCAACGAAGACTACTTGAAGAATACCATGGCGACGTCGTAGCGGAATGCTATAAGTCTCGAACGCTCGATCCGGGTCGCGATTAAAGTCTCTTTATCTTATCCGGTAACTCGATAATGCATTACACCGCGTTGAAACATAAGGCGTGCTTAAGCGGAGCTATAGAAAATCTCCCGAGAGAAAGGCATTTATCTACACTATATACTTATCCTATATATTTCATCTTCCGTTCTATATAATCTAGAAAAAAGTTAATTTAACGTGCAAATATATTTTCAATTCCGTATCTTTTTTTTAAAATATAAATAATTTAATATTTAAATTTTTAATGAAATATTTGATACAATGATAACGATAAATTAATAAAAAGTTGAAGAAAACGGTACGTAGCCACATAATTTTATCAAATGGATTATTTGTATATGTAGATTTGTTAATTTCATGTTTTTTTTTTAAATTTTATACATTTCAATTCCATATCAAATTCCGTATAAATATCTTAGATGATATTCATCTGACTATAAGGAAATTTATTATCAAACATGCTGCGATCCATGACTATTTGAGAATCTACGAGCGACAACGTAGCAAGCAGCGGTTGATTTAGGTGACTTCCGCAAATCTAAATATGCACAGGGAGTTTGGAATTTATACCCCAGCGAATATATTGTAAATCTGCCACGCGTAACTAGGAATCCCCAGTGGTGCGATTACAAAGTAGCAGTAACCGTTGCACGATGTGTTTTAAGGGAATAACGATACACGTCTCTGCCTCATATGCGATTCTTATATACCTGAATAATACAATAGAACAATGCAACGACATCACTAAATCGCTATCGCACATTTCTTTCATTACGGAGACTGGTAAATATCAGGACGCTGGCTGGAGCTATCGGAGACATTCGACATTTATTTTCTACACGAGACCGAAAGCCGTTTTCACTGTCTGTCTAGCTGTCTGCCTTCTTCATTCTCTCGGTGTGCAAACTCATTGTGCGAGTGCCTCAAGTGCAGACGGAATACACGAAACCTCGAGCTGTCGGATTCCTGTCAGCTCACGCTGTCGGAGAATTTGCAGGGCATGACTGGCGCCGAGAAACCTCGTACTCTGGTACACCTACTTTGGCAACCTAGACTTTTTTGTATATTTATATTTTATATCTATTCCTCGAAAACGCGAAGAATTGAATACTTCCATTGAAACTTTGAATTCCCTCGAATTAATATTCTTTAACGAGATGAGATTAAATTCTCGTGTTGAATCTCTCATCTTTTGTGATAATATTAATATTAATAATATGAATAAAAAAATACCGTTTGTTTATTTCAAAAGATTATAACTTGCATTTTAAAATGTTTTTTTTTTACCGCTTATAGATTTTTATCAGATTTTGGCCTATTTTTTTTCGCTCTCGGTGATATAATTATTTGACAGTAAGTGCGAAACTTTTTGATCAACCGTCGAGACTGCAAAGAAGATATAAAGCTACCTTACAACTTTATGAAGGAGGACGCTTCTAGTGGCTTTTGTGCGCAGCCGTCGGTTACTTCGTTCATTAAATCTCCTAAAAGGATACGCGCATCTCTCTCTCTCTCTCTCTCTCGCTATTCATCGGTGAAAACTCTTTACGCGTTTCCATAATAATATTTTTTTTTACGTGCTACTCGTTGGCTGACGCGGAAGGGCATAAAGCGCACCGAGTCTACGGCCGGAAACCGAAGCTCTATTTTGAGGAGGAACAAGCGGTCTCGAAAAAAAGACCGAGGAAAAACAAAACTAGAATGCATTTGTACCCCGCGTACGTATAAAACCCATTTGCGGTAGCGGTGCATTCACAATACTCCGGTAAAAATGAGACTGACTTTTACGAGTGGCGCTCCTACTGCTTTTTGTCGCAGGTTCACATTAATCTAGGCGCGGGTGAGAATGAGATGGCGAGTGCCCGCGGGTTGACACTGAACGACCTCAGTTGGCACGAGGTCAATTTGACAAGACGCGAGGCCAACATCAGCCTGCAGATCGACGTGATACACACGACGAGATCTCAACTACCGGGTCGCTTTTTCGAGCTGAACATACACTACGGCGTTTTCATCGGCGGACAGGGCGACTTCAACGAGCTATTTCTAGGTAAGACGGCAAAGCAAGCAAGGAAAAGAGAGGCAAGCCTTGAGTTTATCCGGATAAATTGTCTCGCCACGTGACTGAACTAGATTCGATACACAGCACGCCGACAAATACTATATCCGTCGACGTTGCATTCGCGCCGTGGTCACGACTACCTCTCTTTTCTTTCGCTTCGTTTCGTTAAATGGTCGGCAATCCAGCCCAACTGCAGCGAAGACGATGGAGAGATTAAATAATCAAGTCTAAGAGCTTCGCTTAATAAATAATTAGTTCGCACTCGATTATATCGTTTTTCGTTACTGTGTTAGAGACTTTGGTGACACACGATTTTCAGTAAATTGCACTATATCATATGTCCGTGAGGAATATTGATGAAATAAAAAAATACACAAGTGTAAATAAATTTATAACGAAAATGTTATATAGAATTTTTCTGTATGTTATTGTTAACTGTTGCATATAAACTATTGTATTGAAATTGAGATGAAATGATACAAAAAAACAATAATTTGGAACAATTTTTTAATTTTATCTTCGTTTATTAAATTTTTTTTTTAAATTGAATAAAAATTAATCATTTTAATATTTTACTTTTATCATACACCAGAAAATAAACCCAATAAAATTATGATTACGACAGTGATGAATTATAGTAAAATTTTAATTTTGTAAACAGTGCGCATGAGAGAATATAAAATTATTAAATTAACAATTGTTTGACTGAAGTAATCTGCAGTGTAAATTGAATTTTATAAACAAATTATTAAAAGCATTAAAAATGTTAGGACAGTTACATATTTTTCATTTGATGAAATGAGACAACCAAATTGCTAATATAAGGATAATCAAATTAATAGGCATAAAACCAATAAGTTTTTAAAGAATAATCGTGATTATAATTAAATTAAATGACTTATGCACGGATATACTTTTACTTTGATAATTTAAAGCAGCATTAATTAAATATTAAATATTTTACACAGTACCCTATAATCATTAATATGTAATATTTCAATAACGGGAATGTTCTGGGGATTAATTAGAATCAATAATTTCAATAAGCGAAATTATAATATTTTTCGAATTATAAATGATCAAAATTGATCAATATAATCATAAAAATTTATCTGCTTAAGCCCTACATCGATTTATCTTCTATTGTTAATTTTTATATATCGAATTATATTGATTTCATATTACTACACTGATTATTACATTTTGATTTCTTATATACCTCGCTTTATTTTAAGTATACATAAGTCCAATTTTCAATAAATATAGATGAAAGATTTGGATAAAATGATTAGATATTATTATGCCTTTTTATTAACCTACTTTAAAGGATGGAAGTCTATTTTTAAAATCTTAGAGCTTTTTCTGAGTAAGATTTGTTATAATTCATTATTTTTTCATTGTATTTCTTGCTCCAAAATATAATAATTGTTTCAATGCCGCTATAGTGGCTTTTTCGTTCTGTAAATGTTAAACAAATTAATTGGAATATGTACGTAATTGTAAAAAGCATCTCCTATTTTTCTTTTATTCATACTTGTGCATATTGAAAAAATTTATTGTTTTTTTCGCAGCAGCACGTATAATATTTAGTCCTTGAAAGAGATATATGTACATATATACAAAAGAGGCAGAACTCAAATCCTAATAAAAGTATATCTGGGAATGAAAAAAAGAAGAAATAGAATGACAAAGAGATAACAACAATTTTTCCTGAGATGTTCTATAAAGATTAATTTACTTTTATTTTATATAAATATGTACAATATATGTATATATCTACATGATATATAAATAACTATTGTCTTCGAACTTCATTGTCCATGAGATATGAACATCATGAAGTAACTTAACGGTTATTCTAAAAACGTTTGCGTTTGACTTGCTATAGTTTGGCTTTTTATTACTTTCCCTTTTTTCTTTATTACTCACTATTTATCTAGGCAATAAATTTTAAAATTTTAACAATTACAATACATTGTATTTGATACTTAAAAATTTTTCAAAAGTACCGTTATTGTTATTAATATATGATCCTCATGGTGTTCTTTACATTTCTTAAAAGTTTTATCTAAATACAGAATACTTGGTACAAAAACGTAATGAATATTTTTATCAGATTTAAAGGCAATTCTTCTTTTGTTAAAATCGTTATGTTATGGTTTATTAAACTTATTTTATTCACAAAATATTTTCCATCTTTTTTTATTTGTTTTCAAAATTGCTTAGGTTATATATTTTCACCAATTAGATTTTATATATTTCTCGAAATTAGTTTTTTTTTTATTATATAATAAGTCATAAATAATCTATATAATAAAATTGATATAAGCTCTTCGAGTTTTTTTGTGTGTATAAGTACATTCTGTTATCCACAATATATCAATGGATGATTATATTTCCAAAGTTAAATAATTATTAAGACCAATCTGTCTCATAACTTATCCATTTAAGGTAATGGAGATATTATATTTATCTGTATATTTATGTGTTATATTTATTTATAGTACTCTTACAATCTCTGATATATACAATGTTTACAAATTCATTACCTCATATTAAAAATTGAAAAAATAATTCGCCACTCACCGATATGATGCTCAGCAGTGGAATTTTACGCTACGATGCAAACTACATTAAACCGTAAAATACAAAATACCCAAATTATAACAGCAACCAAAATAATTAATATTTCAAAAAACAATTAGCGCGCACATAAAATAATTATAAATGACTAATTTTCAAAGTAATAAATAACAAATAAATGACTTGTCCCGTTTGCTACACCGTCATCCATGTATCTCAGACCTCCACCTCCTCCCTCTCCTCTTCCTTTTCCTTCTCCATCCCTTCCTCCTCCTCAACCCGTTCTCCTGCTTCTCCTCTCAAATTCCTCTTTATTTTTTCACTCACGAAAATATGCATTGATTATTGATCTCGCGCGCATTAATCACCAGAAATCAATCGGGCGAAAATTTACACGGCACTCCCGATACGCGGATTGATAATCGGCATAATGTGTTCGCAGGAAATAATCGCGTTCAGCACCTCTTGTCGCGATCATATTTCAAGGGATAATTATACGACACGCAGTGCAATTTATTCGAATCGAGCTGCCTGCTCGATTCGAATCTCGAAAGTGTAGCAAGATCGCTTTATACAATAACTAAACATCATAAAAAACAAGTTACAAACATCCCACACCTCTGCCAATTCATTATCTCTACGCAATATTTAATGTTAAATATTATACTTAATTCTCGGCTTTTAAAGAATTAACAATTGTTAATAAACGTTTATAATATACGGCTCTTCATTACATTTGAATATAACTCAGATCTTTTATTGCTGCGAGAGATAAACAAAATAGCACGAAACTTCTACTACAATAAACACTCGATTACTCGATATCTTATAAATCGTTAATCGTGGATGTAAACCATTTGCCAATTTAAATATTCATAAGATATAATTGTGATTCGGGAGCAAATAATGCAACAGCATACGGAGCTGCTTGCAACCATTACTCAGTTTCACTATCGTCGTGCGAATGGCTGCTTTCAGCAGAAAAAGCAGCTTTGCAACCGTTGTAAAATTCTTTAATAAGATTGGTTATATTTAGGTCAAGTAAGGAACTAAAACTAATCATATTAAAGAATTTTACAACAGTTGCAAAGCTGCTTTTTCTGCTGAGCGCAGCAAATATTAGGCGCGGTGGGTGTCTTCGCGTAAACACTGCGCCGTAACGTCACAATTAAATGATTAATGACTGTACCAATGTTGTTATAAAATTTGTTTATCACGTTATCAAGTAGTTATTTCGTTCTCAATTAATTTCAAATTAATTAATATTATGAAACGACGTGTATATATATATATATATATACTATATATACGTTCGCGGTTCTTCATTATTTAAGTCGTTCGATTCAGCGAGTCACATACTCTCTGCGGTCGCGATATGGAAATAGCGGGCAAATTACATTTAAATTGGTGAGAGTCGAAACACGAGACGTATTCCTATCTCACCATTTAACAAAATTTTATAGAGAAACGATCCATCGTTTGCAAATATCTCGATGATGATTTATAATTCTTCTCTCCCATCGCATTAATTCCTTCTCGTTCGAAAATTCTTTAATGCGAAAGTTAATTAACGGTCTAGTTCAATAGCTGCTTATTGTAAGGAATGATTACGTACTTTTAATGAATCGCGTTTCGAGGCGTTATGTGACGATACACAGAACAACTTGCTTTGCTATCTGTTCCCTCGAGCGTTGCCGCGTGATAACGTGGCGATTTTACACACAACAACTTGCTGCTTGCCATCAAAACAAATACGATAGTTGTATCAATCAATTTGTCACCCTAAAACATTTCATGCATACAATAACGTATTTGAATAGATTGCTCTATTCTATAATGTATTGCAAATTATAATTTTGATAATCTATTATCGCACGTTATTTTCTATGTATATAATTTATGAATTTAAAGAATAAAATTTATCTTTGCTTTTTAATAATATATTCGTGTAAATTAATATATTATTATCACGTTTTTTACATTTTCACGTTTCAAGAGATGTAAAATTTCGTGATTTTAATAAATAATTCACGAATCATGATTTTAATAAATAAAGAAAATTAAATTGGATTAAATATCTTTTTCCCCTTGATATATTATTATTAAAAACACACCGTTTTAATTTTCATGGAACAAAAAATAATAATTTTTCTATTTTTCCTATCATGAAATAAAGATAAACCTTATTTATTATACATACAGTATGAAATTTAATAATTTGTTTATTTGGAGCAATTTATTACAATTATTCAAATTTTCATTAAAAAACATTAAATAATCATGTAGTAATTAAGTTTATAATTAATAATCAATTTGTACCAGCTGATTGCTGCATTTATTTATCAATGTATATTAGAAATTATATGAGAAAAAAGAATAAAATCAGCTAAACATAATAAAAATTA